TGTGTTACCCCTGCTATGGCAGTATGGAAACCCCTTGCATGGGGACTTGCATAAATACTGGATGCTGTGAATAAAGACCTCAGTTGACTCCCAGAACTGTGTTTCGTCCGGTTACTGGGGGATTTGGGATATTGCCTTACTTTTCAGCGCTTTCTGTACCAGCGGAATTTGTTGGATTTAATATTGCTGATCCGCTACAGAACTCTTATTGTAGAAGCTAAAAAGCCTGTTTGATTTCAGTAAATGCAGGCATTTAAATCCAGGTATATAAATGTATCACTTCCAGCCTGGAGGTGTCTTTTTTTTTTAAAGGTAATATTGATATTGAGAATTCTGGGGTTCTGTCATCATATTTTCCAATCATTTTGGGTTGCTGTATTTCCTCAGACTGACGAATCGGTGCCTGTCCCACCCCAGGAACTACTGACTGACTCTGAGTCCTACCTGCTCTATGTGATCCTGGAGGTGCAGTGCTGGTACCACAGCCAGGCACGGGTCCTAAGGGAGCTTGGTGCGTTACCGAAGAGGTAAGGGGGATAAAACCTGTCCATTACCGCTGTACACTGCGACCAGACACTCTATACATTCTCTTCCTGCTCGAATAGATTTGCAATTGACTGGCACCCTGCAGAGCGAACCCTGGGGTTTCTGAAGGGGGACACTCGCTACATGCTACTTATTGATCCTGGTTATCCAGTCAGCGGGGGTGTACAGCTGTGCGTCTTAAAGGAGAATCAACAAGAATCCATTCCGGACACCTTCAAGGTGAGAGCCAAACGGGCAATGCTGGGGGGAGATACATGTTAATATGGAAGACTAATACTTTTTTTTTTTTCTGGTTTTAGCCCCCCGTAAAGAATCCTTCATTGACAGACTGGCTTGAATATCTGCAGAACGCCATCATGTAAACGTAGAATTTCCTCCAGGCTGTAATAGAGAATAATGTTTTCGTCTATTCATTCTGCCAGTCAGATTGCCAACATGTGCGTATAGGAAAAGGTAGACACTTTTTGGCATAAAGTATGAATCCTGGAGGATGCATCCTCTTCTGTGACAATATGGCAGATTCCCGAGCTTCACAGGACGGTGTCAAAGTCTGCCCCAGGAATTGCTGCAGAGATTAGTGTCTGGTGCCCCTCCCCTGCAGTACTCCTCACCCAGTGAAGACAGTATTAACTGGGGCAAGGGACGGTCACTGCCCTTCATGTTGCTTCATCCTGTTTATAGCCAGTATTTATCATCTTCGTCTCTTTTCACAATCTTTCTCCTGGCTGCGGATCGTGATCTGTCAGGCTGTATTCATACGTTTGTAATGGTTACTACTACATTGACAAATATAATAAATGTTGATTTAAGAAAAAAATACATTCCCTGTGTTTGTAATATCACTGATACAATAATGTCTTTCTGTGTCTCTCTCGACAAGTCTTGATAAACACTTTCAATGTTAAAGTAGAGTCCCCAGCAGTCCATTCTCTCTGTGCTGCTTGGTATAATAAGGAGCAGCAATGGGTGGCTGGGATTGGTTGAGAGTGTCAGCTGACTGCTTTCAGCCGATTACAGCTCCCAATTTTGGTTCGAATCAATATAATTAGAGAGAAGTGTGTAATCTCTCCTTCAGTGGGGGCAAATCTTTGCAAAGCCAGGGACCCTTATTTAGTGAGTTGTGATCGTGCCTACATTGCCTCTTTAAATACAAAAGTGAGTAGAATTACAGATACATATGGAGACTGGGCAGACAAGTGGCAGGTAAGCTGAATGGGGTTGAGTTGGAGATAATTATTGTGGCAAACTCCCCCTTTTAGCTGAATCTGCCACAAGTTTCTGGGGGGGACTACTTGCCAGCCTTTTACCCTGGGACTATGGGCCCTGTGATAAGCCATGTTCAAAAGTGTTTCTGCCCCTTGGACTTTTAACTGGAACAGATTCAAACATGTGGCAGCGGCCATCTTAAATTGTCCAGCGGTGTTTTGTCGTCGAGTGCATGGAACTGTTTTGGGCATGGGACCATGTGCATGGTGGGGCAAAAATAAGACTTCCAGGAAATTCCTGAACTGATCTGGGTGACTTTTGTGGGGATATGTTGTATTTTGGAGTTTGTAAAATGTGGTTTTTTTTCTGTTTAGAGTTAATTGAGTTAGCCCATTCCCTTTGTTAATTGTGTCATGGGCAGAGGGAAGGGATTGTGTACACTGTAGGGAAGTGTCAGACACTGAACATTGTTTTTATTGGTTTGTACATCTTGTAATTCGGTGCTCCATCAGGTTCAGGGGTTGGTCCCCTGGCCTGAGGAATTGTATAAAAGCCAACCTTAACCATTAAAGCTGAGATTCCTGCTTATACTCCAAAACTGTGTCGTCCTGTTATTGGAGGGAAAGAAGACTTGCTCCTGTGTCTGCTGTTCCAGCTTGCAGGAGATTCAACTGGGAATGTCCTTGTAAGGACTAGAGCTAATTTCCCATTCGGCTCCAGGAAGGAGCAATTCCAGGACCTCAGTGCAGCCACGGCGGCTGTGGGCAGAAGTGCTGCGATTTGTTCCCTGTTCCAGCTAGGAAGCGGTCCTTTGGCGGAGGTACCCAGTCGGGGTTCCAGGTGATCCGCTACAATTCTAGATGAGGCAACAGTGTGAAATACCAATCCCTGTGGGAAAACATTGGATTGGCTAAAAATTGGCCATTTTGATGATGTCACAAAGGGGGCAGGCCAACTTTGGCGGACCCACGCAGCGCTGGAAATAAGGTGAGTTTTATAGGGGGCCAGCCACCTCAGTTTTCCCTATTGGGGTTCCACCAAAAGTTTAAAAAAATAAAATGGCCGTGGGCGGCGAGGGAGCAGTGATCTCCCTGCTCAGCTCCCTCACGCACACAGCAGTGATGCTGGAGCCGGAATATGACGTCACTCCGGCTCATGCATCACTAAGAGGTGCACAAGGGAGCCGAGACCCCAGGGACTGCACGCTCAGCAGCCCCAGTGGACCCCATGCCAGCACTCTTAAAGGTAGAGGTGCTGGGTGGAGTAAAATAAAAAAAAAACAACCTGTATGTGTGTCTGTTAGGGAGTTTGTGTGTGTGTCAAAGAATATAGGTGTGTTTGTCAGTTATGTACAGTGCTGGTGCCCAAAAGGGAATCAGCAGGTGTGTTAGGGACACAAGGGGTAACCCTCACTTATATGTGAGAAAACTGTAAAGTAAGTGACGCTACAACCACCAGGACTCACAAAATAGGTCCCTAAAAGATCTGATCCATATGTACACTGCGTTAAAATTAAAACATAACTTTTATTGAGACTTTGAATCCTAAAATCTTAGTAAGAGAATCTAACATGATTAATAAACGTGAAATATACAGAATACGTCAATGGTTAGATAGAAGAACAGGGATAGCTGCCTACAGTAAACACTGTTGCCGTATAAACTAACAATAATTAGTATAGGCTGTCCTATCCAAAGCAACCGTGGCTCCTCTCTCGGGAACGTAGGTGAGCTATTGCTCATGCAAGACACGGAGGCTCATATTGCTTAACCCTTTCTTTACTGTCCACCAATAGCAGCAAAGGATACAAACAGTAAGAAAAAATGGTAACCATAGTGATAGGCCACACCCATACCAAGTCCCAGTATAATAGTCAGCACCTCCCCACACACTTCCTCTTTCTTTGCTGCTCCGACCAAAGATAAGTACATGACATATTTTCTCTCATACTATACTACTAGTATCTTATTGATTTCTGGTTATTTATATCATTTATTTATTGATATTTGAACTTCTATTACTCCTTTTGTTGATCCTTTTTGCTTTAATTTATCCAGTTGTTAAGGATTTTTTCTGTGTATTATTACATGCTTGTTTTATACTATATATTATGTTGGTTATTCTGTGTGTTATCCATGCTCACTTGCTTCTTCTGATTACTATCGTTCCTCGCTACCCCTTGGCTCCATTTTCTCTCCGTTTATTTGGTGCCATTTTTGTGCCTGTTTTCCGTCCTGTTCAGCTGTTTTCGTGAAAGAATTCTAACCAGTTTGGCAAATTCTGCATTAACGCATGTTGTTCATTTGTTTTTTCTAACACTTAGCTTCATTTGTCTGTTTTGCCACATTCGGCTACTTTTTATTCGAACGTTCAGTGCATTCGCCTGTTTTCTATTCATTACTTTCATCTATTTATCCCATTGAATTCGTCTCTTTTTCTGTGGAACGTTCGGCTTTTTAACTTGATGAATTGACTGTATTTTGGCCACGAATCTCGCGAGATTGCCGGCGGCCATTTCCTGACTTCCTGTCTCTCTGACTTTGTGCGTGTTCTCTTCCTATCTGCCGGTCTGGACCCTGGTGAGCTCCCTATCTATACCCTCTTAGGTTACATTAGTTTGGGGTGATTAACTCCTGCTTGTCTCCCCTGATCTGATTTAGCTTTATCCCATACTGATTATATTGTTAATTTTTTGTTGGGGAATATCTCACAGCACTACCATGCCCAGATCTAAAGTGCCTGCCAGCCCCTCCTCCCCTAGGGAGATGGACATGCCCCAGGTTTTGGATAACCCATCTTCCAATTCTGCTTCTCCTTCTGTCAGCTCATGCATCCACCTGCGCATGGACAACATCTCAGCGGTCCGCTGTGTCAACCACAAGGGTGGCACTCAGTCTGCAATTCTGACCCGCTTGGCGAAGGAATTCTGGGCCTATTGCTTGGACAGGAACCTGGTGGTCCAGGCAGAATACCTTCCCGGGCTCCACAACACTCACACGGACTGGAGTTCACGCTATCTGTCGGACAACAGCGATTGGAGATTGGATGTGGGAGTATTCTCCGCCATATCGTCCGTGTGGGGTCCTTTTGCCATCGACATCTTCATGTCCAGGCTCAATACCCAATTACCCCGGTTCTACAGCTGGCGCCCGGATCCAACCGTGGAGGCAGTGGACGCCTTCCTACAAGACTGGTCTGGGTCACTCCTCTACGCCTTCCCCCCCTGGTTGCCATGATACCTCGGGTCCTGCTCCAAGTTCGCCGCCAAATGGCCGACCTGATCCCACTAACCCCATTCTGGGGGACCCAATCCTGGTTCCCACAACCCCTGGAAATGGCAATAGACGTGCCCAGACTGCTGCCGTCTCTACCGAACCTCCTCCTGGACCCATCGCGCCTCCTAGCGGACGGGTCGTTACTACTGCCTCAACTCTACGCCTCCTGGCTGACGCATGGGCTCCCAGGACTAGACGAGCATATGGGACCGCTTGGACAGGCTGGTGCCTGGCTCGGAACTTGGATCCCGTTTTGGCACCTGTGACTGCGATCCTCCTATTCCTGACTTTGTTGTTTGAAGCTGGTCGGGCATATCGCATGATTAATTAGTACAGATCGGCCATCTCCTCGGCTAACCAAGGATTTGACGGCTGCCCAGCAGGCCAACATCCGTTAGTGTGCCGCTTACTTAGGGGCTCACGCCTGTCGCGCCCAGCTTGACCTCGTTACTCATCTACATGGGACGTTTCCTGCGTTTTGTCGCTGTTCTCCTCCTGGCCGCCCAATGCAGAGCTCTCCCTGTTCTGTCTCATTTCATGCAAACGAGTATCGGATGTTCGTGCCCTGGACTATGATTCTAGGTCTTTCACTCCGGACAAGGTGACGTTTAACATCTCCAGACTCTCCAGCCTTATGTCCGGTGGCCTGCCTACGGGAATATGAACTTCGTACAAACGCAAATCGAGCAACGTCGTCTCCCCAGCCTTTTCTCTTGCTTAGTCGCCCCTTCTCCCCTGTGTCGAGTACTACATTGGCTCGCTGGGTGAAATGGGTGATGTCTCTGCCATCTTTGGTGCCCACTCAGCCCGAGGGTGAATTCAGGTGCACGTCTGGAAGACCTGATGAGAATGGCCGACTGGTCCCGCGAATCCACTTTTCGTGAGTTTTACTTTCGACCTTTGCCTCACGTTTTTTCTCCGGTTATTGATCAGCTTTAAACTTGCAATATGAGCCTCCGTGTCTTGACATAAAATTACATGATTTTGCTATTTCATGCCGAAAAGTCATGACTTTATGAAAGACACGGAGGCGAGTATTGTCCCACCCTTCATAGTTATTTTACTGATTTACCCCACCCGGTTGTTTATTCTTTCCTGTAGGTTTTCCAGGGTTGGTAGGTATTCATTATGTGCTCTGGGTTTTGTATAGTTTCAACAGTTTATTAACCTGTTCATGTTACGTGATTATCCGAAATGCCTAAGGTGAATTATGCACACTGTGTTGCTTCTGTCTAGTTATAAAATTATGTCTTGGCATGTGCACTTTGGTTCAAGTACCGATTTAACCGTTCGGCTCCTGTCTTTTGTGTTTTCACAGGTTGATTCCTATTGTCTTCAGCACTTCTCTCTTGGTTTCACCAAGTGGCCAGAAAGTTTATGGACAATGCTGTGATGGGCCCCTCACTGTTGGAATCCTGTTTACTGATGGATCGATCCCAGTTTCGTTATGGTTCCTGATCGGAGTCCGGCTGGATTTTGGATCTCCTGTTCTATTTAATTTGGAATGTTTCATCGTTCCTGTTTTGTTGTTATTGTGTCGCATCTCCAAAGAAAGAGGAAATGGGTGGGGATGTGCTAACTATTATACTGGGACTTGGTATGGGTGTGGCCTATCACTATGGTTACCGTTTTTTCTTACTGTTGTATTCTTTGCTGCTATTGGTGGACAGTAAAGAAAGGGTTAAGCAATACTCGCCTCTGTGTCTTTCATAAAATCATGACTTTTCGTCATGATATAGCAAAATCATGTAATTACATGGGGTACTGTGGGTGGGGAATGGATTATATACAACATGTAGAGCGACCTACAATAGGTGGTACTGAATCTCTAGCTTGAGGATCTTAAAAGATGAACCCCCTGTTGCTAGACTTATATAGCTATCTATAACATAACGTACAGAAATAAGGGGGACCATATCGCTAATCTCATAATCGTGATATCCTTTGCAGTTGCTATTGCCTGCTGAGTGTAGCCACAGAGTGTGCTACAGTAACTGCTTGTATACACTGTGTCCTTCTAGATCCGGCGCACAATGTATCAATTGCTAGTTGGGCAGATAATAAAAAAACGTAATAGCTCAAATGGAGACCTAATAAAGCGAGTGAAAAAAGTGTCTTCTACGTGTATATTGCTAACAAAGCTCATATGGCCCCTGAGTATCTTGCGTGAGTGAATGGCGATACTCAAAGGCAGCCTTACACCAGCTGGGTAATAAATACAAGGTAACCTGAAGGTAATCCTATTCGTTCCTTAAAAAATAAAATAAACCTCAGCCGGCTGAAATATACGGCTGTACCAACGTGAGTATCCCCGAATCAATTGAGTACTATCGTAAGCTGACAGAGCTACTTGCTGTTAATCAACTGTGAAATAAAAAAACGCCTACAATAGCGATACTTAAAGGCAGCCTAACCCCGGCTGGGTACTAAATACGAGGTAACCAGAAGGTAATCCTATTTGTTTCTTAAAATGAACTTCAGTCAGCTAAATTATACGACTGTACCAAGAATGGGTAACTCAGAGAATTGAATGCTATCGTAAGCTGACAGAGCTATTTGCTATGAATAAACTGTGAAATCAAGACCACCTACAGAGCTGCTTGCTATAAATAAACTATGAAATCCAAAACCTCCCTCGGTGGCCCTTAAAAGGGCTCCTGGTAAGCTAACACCCCGCTCCCGACCCCACAACTGTCGGTGCCCTAATATAGAGAGGAGCCAGACGGTTATCTAAAGAAAATGAGAAAACCTAACGCGCGTTTTGGTGCTACAAAATGCGCCTTCGTCAGAGGCAGTTCTGTGTTTGTCAGAGTGAAGGTGTGCTTGCCAATGAGTGTGTGAGTATGTGTTTGTCAGTGAGAATGTATCTGTTCTTGTCAGTGAGAGTGTATGTGTGTCTGTCAAAGAGTATGTGTGTTTGTCAGTGAGAGTGTATGTGTGTCAGTGTGTGTATCTGTGTCAAGGTTTGTGTGTATCTATCTAAGTGTGTATGTGCCTGTGTGTGTATCTGAATGTGTGTGTATATCTGTGGCAGATTACGTATACACACTGACAGAGATACACTGGCGCATACAAACACAGATATACACACTTTAATCATAGATATACATACACACACACAGGTACACATTGTGTGTATCTGTATGTCAGATTCATACACACTGGCATAAACAAACACCTTGATACACACAGTGTGTCAAGGTGTGTATCTGTGTGTCAGTGTGTGTATGATACACATACATACACTGGCACCTACAAGCACAGATATACACACCTTGACACACACCGGCACATACAAAAAACTGCTTCTTTTTTTCCCCAGGGGGTGGGGGAGAAGGGGCTGCCGGTCTCGCAGTGGGTTTTACTCGCAGCGGCCACGCTGCTGGTCTCACTGAGGGCTCTAGGCGTCTCATACTGTGTGTTCTTTCCTACAGCCAGGAACATTACAGCTTCCTCCAGCACAAATTGAAGGTCACATGCTGGAACTGTGTGTAGTGAGGGGTTAATACTGTAAAGGAGATTACAGCAGTGAGTGTAAATTGGATTACAGTAATGCATAGGCCTCAACATGATCAAAACTTATTGTGATGGACCGGCTGGCACCCCGACTGGGTGCCTCCGCCAATCACTGCTTTCTAGTACCTCCGAGTACTTCCAAGCACTCCACCAGACACCATCAGCACTGTAGACCCTTAGCTGCCGCAGCTTGGCTGGAATATTGCTGTCCTTCACCCACCCTGGACCCAAGTCAGGTATCCAGCTTCCAGTGGGTAGACCTCTCCTATTCCAGAGAGTATAGCATGATAGCTCTTACAAGACCTGGTGATATACTGTTCCTGTACGTCCAGTTGTCTGGTTACAATTACATGTCTGTTAGTCCACCCATTGTACAGCGCTACGTTATCTGATGGCGCTATATAAATCATAAAATAATATAATATAGCTGGTATAGCTGTTCCCCACAATCACGAGACGAGGCTCTGTGTTGAGGGTGAAGTTGAACTGTTTAATAGCAGCCACAACTGGCCTTATATGCAGGTCCCCATGCATGTAGCGGAAAGCTGGTCTCCCACAGCCTATTCCCGGTGGGAACCTAGAATAGCTCAGGAACAAGTAGTAAATCCAATAGAGTAGCAGGCACAATCAGCAATATAATCCAAGAATCCATCACCTTTCCCAATAACTGGACGACACACAGTATCAGGAGCAGAACTGAACTTTAATCACGCAACCCCTGCTTTTATGCAATCCTCCCATGCAAGGGAGACACCCACCATAATTATTACAATAACCAATCGGGTACAAGGTACAACCCACACATCTCCTCCCCTCAGATAAACATTTAACATAATTAAAAAGGTACACAATTTTCCCCAAGTTCTAGATTCCAGAAAAGTCGTGTGCCGCTCATTAATCTACTTGACCTCACTAACATCTTCACAAACCGCAATCACTTCAACATTCTAAGTGGTCGGCTGGGTGGCCACCGTTTGTGTGGACGAACATGAGGCGGCGGCGGCCATCTTGTTTTGCGAAAGCACCCAGCGGTGTTTGGTCATCGAGTGTATGGATCTATCATCGGACACTCATGTGGCGAAAGTAACCTCGCAACTGGTTTTTGGAGGGGCCTGTTTGCCAGCCTCCTGCCCTGCGACTATGGCCCTGGGATGTATTGCCCTTCTAGGAACTGATTTGGGCATAATTTATTTTTATATTGCTGTTTCTGGCCCTTTAATTCCCAGAGAAAGGATTTGTACTTTTAAACTGGCACTTCGGATGCAGTCGAAGTGCCGAAGTCGTCGAAGTGGCCGCCATTCGAAAACCGAACACGTGGCGGCGTCCATTTTAACTCATTCGAACGCGGTCAGCGGTGTGTGCAGCCAAATCTACGGAACTGTTTTCAGCTACCCAATTGCACGAACACCGCTGACCCGTACCTTCTACTCTACTTCGACACTGTGGCTGGAGACTAAGTCCCGTTTGAAGATTTCTCAGTGTAAAATAGACCGACCGCACAGCCCAAATCTATGGAACTGTTTGGGGCATGAAAATGTGCTTGCGGTCGGTCAAAAGTGACATATCTATCTCCCGAACGGCTGAACGGATTCGAATGATTTTTGGGTATGTTTGTATTTGAAATGTGCTGATTAATAATATGTGACTTTTATTAATATTGGATGTATAGTTTTAGAGTTCAGAAAGTTGGGTAAAAAGTATGGTTTAAACTGTACGGCTAATTGTATTACCTCTCAGGCTTAGGGGAGGAGATGTGTGGGATGTAACCAGTGTGTGATTGGGAAATGTATAATTGTCTGTGGGCATCTCCCTTGCATGGGATAATTGCATAAAAGCAGAGTGTGTGTCATTTAACCAGAGTTCTACTTCACCCTCAATCTAGAGTCCTGTCTCTTATTGGGGGAATTGCTATATCACTACAAGGGATTGCTATGCTCTGCATGCTCCCTTGGATAATCACTTCTAAGCTCTTTTAAGAGCTTGTTCCTGTCTTGCTCTCGGAAGGAGTCTACGGTGGTTATGGTGTCGGCTGGAGTGGAGGCTGGAGCTTGGGCCCTCAGGAAGCGCTAGGAGCATCCTTCAACTGAGGTACCCAGTCGGGGTGCCAGGTGATCCATTACAACTCAACAGTGCGAACACCGCTGGGACTTCCACATAATTGTTTTCGTCTGAGAGAAGCGGTGTTCGGTGGGAGCAAACTCCCGCACAAGGGGCACACAAACCACTTATAACAAAATAATGAAGATAACCGTTCGTATATATTTCATATTCCTGAAAGAGACCAACCTCTCAGCCTGAATTCATGGAACTCTTTTGGGCAGGCGCCTTGTGTGCGGTCGGTCTAAACTATACCCCGGTGGCATTTCGGCTACGTTCGTGACACCTGTGACAGAACTATGATTTCTGCCTGGACACCTTTAATAATAATACAGATGGATATACAAAGTACCGAATTGCTTGTTGCATGTGAATCACTATTACCCAAGAATGAATCCAAACTACCGAACACCGGACCACCCTGGCGTGCAATTAAGTGATACTTTACCTCTCAGCTCTATTTCAGCCATTCGCATGGTTCAGCACGAATTCTTTGTGTTAAGCATAGGTGGCCGCCATTTCGGGACTTTAAACGTGTTCACGGCCATCTTACGCACGAACAGCGGTGTTTGCCAGCAATCACCTGGAACTAAAAACGGATACGCAAACAGGCGAACACCGCTGAGACCTCCGGGACAACGTAGATTCGTGTTGAAACTACTGAACAACCGGCCGTTCGGTAGAAAGACTAAACCTTACATGGGGATTCCGGCGAATACCGAGATAGCTGTGGATGGCAAGGGTTTCGTGGGGTTTTAATGCACGAACGGAGACCGACTGCAAGGCCAAAACTTGTGGAACTATTTTCGGCTAGAAAATCTGTGCGGTCGGTCAAAACTTCAAAGATCCATAACTCCCGAACCCTTTAACCGAATGAGCTGGATTTTGGATATGTTGTTCCCCTGCACCAGAGCTATCTGGGGATACTAAATTTATACTAGATTTAAAGATGTACCCCCTGTTTTTGGAGTACATCCAAAACTTGGGTAAAATTGTGTGTGTGTTAATTATGTTAAATGTTTATCTGAGGGGAGGAGACGTGGGGGTTGTACCATGTATATGATTGG